TTTTCTGCATATAAGCCGACGTTTTCCCAGCTACCATCAGCTCTGAGGAAGGGTCACCAGACCCGAAACGTTAACTCTAATTTTTTTTCTTCACAGATGCTGCCAGACCTGCTGAGCTTTTCTAGCAACATCTGTTTTTCTTCCTGATTTACTGCATCTGCAGTCCTTTTGGTTTTTAATTTCTTAACTTGTCTGTCATTCCCCATTGTAAATTTTTCTGACTCTGCCTGAAATGGACTCACATTTGACTTAGCCAGATATTTCCCTTTTTATGTACCTGTAGAAGCATGGAAGCTTACACAGATTGTTCTTGTGGATATTGTTGCTAGTTTACATCTATATTGAATTCTCTCTTTATCAGTTTTTGGTCACCTTTGGCTGTATTCTAATACAGGCAATTATGAGGGCATAAAAGCAGAGCTAGCTAAAGTGAACTGACCAGTTAGGCTTAGGGTTAAGTCAAAAGAGCTGCAATGGCTGACATTTCAAGGGCTATTTTGGAATGTACCGAATAGATTAATTTTAGTGATTAACTGGAAAAAGCATACAATTGTGTAGGTCGCAGGTCAGAACATTGGACAGAATATAAAAGGCAGAAAAGAATGACAGAATATTAAAAGGAGAGAAGAATTCAGGTATCAGAGAATGCTAGCTAGTCAGTATGAGGGAAAGATAACTAGAGATACAGAAACAGTAAGAGTATCTGTCAGAATGGGATCACAGTGCGAAAAGTGTGGAAAGCTCTGCTTTCTGTCATTGGTGTTTAGAAATCTGTCTATCTCTATTTTAAACATAGCCAATGACTGAATTTCCATATCCCATGTGGGGTAGAAAATTCCAAAGATTCACAAGCCTTTGAATTTAAAAAATATTATCTTGTCCTATGTCCCGCCCCCTTTACTTTGAAACTGTGACCCCCTCATTCTATACTCCTCAACCAAGGGAAAGACCATTTTATCAAAGAAAAGATTTTGCAAGCAAGCTTTGATCTATTCCAATCAGGTCTGGGGAATTAATGTGTAAAATAAGGCGATGGCAGATAAACGGGTATTTTGCATTTCGCTGTAAATGATACAAGTGACATCCTAGAAACCATTGTAAAACAGGAAATTGGAGAGGAATTCAAGAAACTTATGAAGTGGTATTGAGCAAATTATTGGAGCTTTAGCCTGACAAGTGCCTGGGTCCTCACACACTTAATGCTAGGGCCTTAAAATATATGACTAGTGAGGTAGTTGACAGTTATTTGTAATTTTCCAAAATTCCTTAGATTCAGAGAAGGCTCCATTAGATTGAAAATTAGTCCTTTGTTCGAAAAGGGAGGAAGACAAAATGTAGGAAACTACCGACCAGTTAGTTTAACAGATGATAAAGGGAAGGTTTCAGAAGTTATTATTAAAGACATTATAGCAGGGGATTTGGAAAATTTCAAGATAAATATTCAGAGTTAACATGGTTTTGTGAAATGGAAATCACCTTTTACCAATTTATTGGAGTTCTCTGAGGAAGTAACATGAGCTATGGGTAAAAAGGAAGTAGTGTATGTAGTTATTTTTTTTAAAGACTGCCAGAAGGCATTTGCTAAGGCAAATCAAAGATAATTGCAGAAAATAAAAGCTCTGGTTTAGGGCTTAATATATCTGCATGGATAGAAGATCAGCTACTGAAAAGCGTAGCCATTATGCATAACTTCCCAGTGTAACTTGTGTAGTGATGTAGGTCTTAAATTGAGATTTGTGTTTAAGATCTTGGGTAACAAAGCTAATGTTGCAATTTCCTCCTGCCTAGATGTTTTCATACCTCCTGATGTGTGCCTCTACTTTTGCCTTTATTATGATGTGGGAGATTAGTCACTACGTACTATTTGTACAAGCCTTCAGTGTGTTCCTGTTGGATTGCTTGGATCTAATTCAAAGCCGCAAGGTGTGTACTAAATAGAATATAAATTCTTGTTAGGGAGAGAAAGAGTGGACAAAGGAATGATACAGTGAAGTTAACTAGAGCTGACCACAACATATTGATCATGTACATTTTAATAATGGTGGTGGTCAAGGTTAAATCATTACAAGTTGTTTCAAACATTTTTGAAGGAAAATCTTGTGTTTGTAGAGCGTTTTCATAATAACCATACGTACACTGATTTTCTATCATGGTATTCCTATAGCTCACACAGAAATTGATAGTAAATAAAAGTGGCTGAATCAGACTGATCCTGATCTGCACTGACTTAGAACTCCGTCCCAAGAAGTGTTTATATTGCTGGATCTAGCATAATAATTGCATCAGAATCCAAAATATGTTGTTTGTACTAAAACTGCCTTTAATTAATGTTGTAAATCTGGCTCAAACAGATTTTTGCCAGCAGGTGGGTTTAATGCTTATGTCACTGTTTGAAATGAAAGACTGTCTGGTTTCATCTGAGACTCTTCAATTGTTGTTCATCAAAGACACATATAATGTGTATATAGTGTGCATACTTGCCTTTATGCATTAGTGTCTGCTGACTTTTAACACGAGGCATTTGACCAATTATTCGTGGTTCTTGGCTGGTTGGGTAGATCTAATACAAACACGAGACTGAATACACTCAGTTACTGCTTTCCTGGAAAGCAACAATAGCCTGAAGCATATCATGGGATACTATTTTATTTGCAATCGTGCAGTGGCTATGACTATTGATGAATAATTTTAGTTTTATTTCAGACTGTGAAATAAAATGCTCATATTATTATTTCTCAGCAATAAGTCTGGGTTATTAATGCAAGTCTTTGAGGAATAATTTCCCATATTCATAAAACTATCTTTCTGATTCTTAGATAACAAGGTGTAGAGCTGGATGAACACAGCAGGCCAAGCATCATCAGAGGAGCAGGAAGGCTGACGTTTCGGGCCTGGACCCTTCTTCAGAAAACCTACAGTTCTAAGGATGCCTCCCCTGAAGAAGTTACTCTCCTCCTTTTCTGAAGAAGGGTCTAGGCCCGAAATGTCAGCCTTCCTGCTCGTCTGATGCTGCTTGGCCTGCTGTGTTCATCCACCTCTACAACTTGTTATCTCAGATTCTCCAGCATCTGCAGTTCCTACTATTTCTGATTCTTGTTAGCTTTATAAAGCAGGTGGAAGAAAATAAAATTCATGCTTTTTAAAATATTATTTAACCAATGCATTGTGGAGCAATTATTTTGTTATCTGCCTGAATTCAAATAAAGGAATATACTGAACACAAAAGCAAATTATTTGGATGTGGCTTTGCTTTTTTTTTTTAATTTGTTAAAGATGATCCTTGTCTCTGTTGTAGGTTGCCGACGTGTACAGGATGTATATAGTGTGCCTTGCACTAGGCTATTTTATACAGTTCAGAAATTCTGCTTTACTGGCTTCCCCATTGCTAAGCTTCATTTGTGGTTCACATCTTGCAAAATACATTCAGGTAATAGAATGGGGCCTTTTAAGCCTAATCACTTAGTTTTAAGATTTTGTTAGTGTGTGTGTTAACAGAAAATTCAGTTTATCCAATTTAAAACAACCAATTATAGCGAAAGAACTTTTTTCTGCTCAATGCATTAGCCTGGATTTTCATCTTTAAGCAATCAATAATTCTATTTTTGACCATTTCCAAACATCATAATTGTGCTGCCTGCCTGCGGTGCCCATCCACAATATGGGGACTAGCTGGAGTTGAGGCTACTAGATGCTGCCCCAAGGTAGGAATAGAAATAGTCTGATGCTGGACGGGTGGGCAAGATAGAAGCTGCCTGCCTCCATTCACTTGAATATTAACCCAGTTCTGTACATCAGTGCTAGGTATACTAGTCCTCGCCCCTCTTCGTCCTTCTCACTGACCTACTCTGCATCTTGCATTTCCTGTATATCTCAGCATATCTACATACCCAGTATCCACTATGACAGATTTCATTAGCCTTGTTAGAATATTGGAAAGTCTGAAACTGTCACTTAAACATACAACCATTCGTATTTTGTTTGAAAAAGTCTATTAAGAGGTCAAAGAACTTTCAAATAGTCATTCATAATCTTAGGAGCTCATAAAACTGTCAATCAGATCAAAGATCACAGTTCCCTAGATGGTTGTATCAACAACTGCTGCTGAGTTGCATTCATTTTAAGGGATTTGCAGCTCAACCAAGCATTCAAACTGAAATTCCATTGCACAACTGTGTCAAAAAATTTCTGCAGCTGAATGCATTAAAACAGAGGAACAGTTGGGCTATCAACGAAGAAGTTAGTCATCTGTACCATTGCTTCAAATGCAGTGTGGTCAATCACTGCAAAGATCAAAGCATAGAATACAACTGACAGATTAAAATCTGAATTTCAAGACTGTTGAATGCAGAAGAGCACTTTATCCAATGCAGTTGAAGACATTTCTACTTTCACAATGCTTGTCAATTTAATAGCTGTTTACTTTTTCTAAATAAACTTATCATTAATCACTGTGTTTAAAACAGACTTGATTTATCATAAAACTTCTAATTGTGACATGTGAAGGTGTCAGCATCTTTTGAATTTGTTTCCTGACTCTAAACTAGGAATTTCCCATGGTTAATGAAATGTCTGGCCATGTACCATGTTTTCTTCCAGGACAGGGCAGATTACATAAAAATAGCAGGGACTGTAAAATTCCCACATATAGAATGGAGTGGCTAAGGCACAATTGCTGCGAGCAGGCTTCCTATTTGCTCTCTTATCCTGCACTTTAAAAATTGCTACATTATGGGAGTGGAGCACAAAATCCTGCAACTGAGTTCTACTTATCATTTTTATATCCAACCCAACAGAGGAATGAAAATCCATCTCAGTGTTGGGTACAATATGGTCAAGTTTTTTGTTTTTGTGAACTATTGTTAGTTTAAAATGTTCTGAGCATGATGTGTGTTTTAATTGTGCTTTACAACTTACTAATTTTCCCCTTTTCTTTAACAGCAAAATCTAAAGAAAGGTCACTTTGTAGCGAGACTGCTGAAATTGCTGCTTCATTTCTATTTGGTTTTCACAGTTTCAGTCACTTTAAATCTTGTAATAAAAGTAAGTATGAGATACAGCAGCTTGGTATGTAATTTTTGACATTATTATTTTGCATTTTATTTGTTGAAGACCAGTTATCTCTTATTTCAATAACTTCAATGGCGACATAGTAGTCAAAGAAGACCACGAGTGAAATTTTATAAGGGCCTGAACAACATGGGCAATGTTGAAGTCTGTGGCAGAATCATGTGAGAAGTCTGGTGAGACCTGCCTCTACATTGGGACCAACTTGCCATATCCTTTATACATTTGCCAAGCAACAAGGAAAGTTTCTTGCCAGGCAGTGACAAGTTGCCAATTAAGAGGAATTATAGATGGTTAACTTTCTTACTAATGGCAGGATTAATATTCAGCTTCCTATCTTACCTCCTGCAGCAAACAAACTAGATGTTGAGAACTCTTGATGCGGAAGTTGGAGCAGATACCTTCATGTTCCTCAGTGTAACACAGCCTCTCGGGGCACGATGCATTTGCAGTAACTGCATGCACCCCCTGTTCACAGACATTGGCATTTGATATTTGCTGATCTCTAACAATCCTCATGATACCTCACTGATGTCTGTGCTTCCTAAATGTCCTGCAAGTACATGCGTTACAGGGCTTACTAGCAACTGGTATTGAAACACTGCTGCAAGGACATCTTGGGTGCATGGACACACCTAGCTCGTGGCTTGGACCAAGCTGCATCTCATGACAGCTTGCTTCCTTAGCGCTCACTTATTAGCGTCCACCTGCATACTCACAGTAACCCTTCCTTGCCTTTCTGTGTCAGTTAATATAGTCATACAACCAGGCAGCTTGTCTTGCTGGTCAACAGTTCTCACTCAAGCTGGGGGGGTACAGTTTGCTTTATGGCATTGCGCTACGTCATGTCTGTACCATGTACCAAGCAAGCACACTGCACGTGCAGCAAACAAACGGCTATGCCTCAGAGTCCAGCAGTGTAGTCCTTGCCGTAGTCCTTGGAGGCACCTGTCAGTCAGAGGACCCTAGCACAGTGAGTTGAAAGGCAGACACTGATACCATTCCAAGGGCTTGGCCACAGTTACGTGCATGGTCAGGGTGATCTTGGTCAGGGGGTCCGTGCCTCTACAGTCTGGGAATGGGTCATGGTGAATCCTGTAGCCTCATAGCAGCCAGCCAGGTGTAAGGCTAACGCAGTCAGGATGATATACAAGCATCAGTCAGGGGTCTGGGCATTTCTTGTTAGGGTGGATAGGGGAGGAGGCAAGGGACACTTAGGTATGTTGTGGGAAGGTTACTTGGGGGCTGCAGGCTTGGGGAAAGGGGGATACCAATTGTAAAGGGGTCAAGTGGATTTGTAACATATTTATACATACAACATGGATGGGAGCTGTGTAATGAGGGCAGTGGAGTCATCCGTGGTCAAGAGCACCCTGGCTTCAAAAGTGATTGAGGACATTTGACGAGAACAATGTATGACTACACCTGGAATAGTCACCTTTTATACCATCGGCTGGTTGCGGGGTTTGGTTAAGGTTGCTAAGTGCAGGCTCAAGTAACAGGTTGGGTAGCGACTTTGGGAGGTGTGAAGCTGATGGGTCACTTTCAAACCTATCTGGAAGGGAATCTGAATGTTTGGGGTGTCACTGACTCATAAAGGAAGAGGCTAGAAGTCATTGGCTGATGTGCATTTACTATCATTTGAACGTGTGAATTGGGAAAGAAAATGACTGTGACACAAGAGTGGATGGTATATGTTTTTCAACGTGTGAGGGAGAGGGCCGCAAGAAACAGCAATGCGAGACCATAAGACATAGGAGCAGAATTAGACCCATAATGTCTGAACTGCCATTCAATGACGACTCATAAATTTCTCAACTGCAATTTTCTACCTTCTCCCTGTAACTCTTGATCTTCTTACCAATCAAGAACTTGTCTATCTCTGTCTTAAACACACTCAATAGCTTGGCCTACACCGCCATCTGCTGTAATGAGTTCCACAGATTCTTCATCTTCTGCCCAAAGAAATTCCTCCTCTCTAAGGCTGTGCCCTTGGGTCTTACTCTCTCCCACTAGTAGAAGCATCTTCTCCACATCCATCTATCCAGGCTTCTCAGTATTCTCTAACTTGCAGTCAGATACCACCTTATCCTTCTAAATTCCATCTTTTACAGGCCCAAAGTCCTCAACTGCTCCTCATATGACAGGCCTTTCATCTCCAGGATCATTTTTGGAAACCTCCTCTGAACCCTCTCCAATGTCAGCACATCCTACCTTAGATATGAAGCCCAATCTGCGCATGATATTCCAAATGTGATCTGACCCGCGCCTTGCAACCTCAGCAGTATATCTCTGCTCTTGTATTCTAGCCCTCTTGAAATTAATGCTAACATTGTAGTTGCTTTCCTGACTGCCAAGTGAACCTGCCTGTTAACCTTATGAGAATCTGAACCAGGAGTCCGAAGTCCCTTTGTGCTTCAGATTTCCAAAGCCTTTCCCTGTTTAGAAAATAGCCTACACCTCTATTTTTCCCCAGGTTACTTACACCCTTTCACGTGCCTGTGGTTCTGAGGACCAGTCGTAGGGATGATGGAGAGCAGATTCTGAGGGTGCTGGACGTGGCTTTTTGTGGCAGTGCCCAAACTATCCATGGAGGTACCCAGATGACAGTCAGCTTGGTCTAATGTTCCAGTGCATATGGCTGAAGTCTCTGATTGCTAATACCACAGGATCCTCTCCAGCCTGGTGTTGAACAGGTGCCAGGTCTTTGTCAGTCCTCCACATTCCAGCAACATGGGCATTTCTCCCTCCGCAAGCTGTGGAGCTGTCACAGTGAGATGCTCACCAGCTTGTGCTGTCAAACTTTTTACGGCTGATGTTCCCACTGAGCTGTCAGTATTTGAGCTGGTGCATGGGCAGGTGCGGGAGGCAGCTTTGCCAGTGTGTCCTCTTGAGGCCTCGACCCTATCATCCTCAGACGCCAAGAAAGTGCCTTTTGGGGTAACCTAGAACAAAGAACAGTACAGCACGGTACAGGCCCTTCGGTCCACGATATTGTGCCGACCTATGTCCTACTCAAAGATCAAACTACCCTGCATACTCTACATTTTACTATCATCCATGTGTTTCTCCAAGAGTCGCTTAAGTGTCCCTAATGTATCTGACTCCACTACCACCGCTGGCAGCACATTCCACATGCCCACCACACTCTGTGTAAAGAACCTACCTCTGACATCTTCCCTATACCTTCCTCCAATCACCTTAAAATTATGCCCCCTCGTAATAGTCATTTCCGCCCTGGGAAAGAGTCTCTGGCTATCCACTCTATCTATGCCTCTCATCATCTTGTACACCTCTATCAAGTCACCTCTCATCGTTCCTTGCTCCAATGAGAAAGCCCTAGCTCCCTCAACCTTTCCTCATCAGACCTGTCCTCCATTCCAGGCAGCATTCTGGTAAATCTCCTCTGCGCCCTCTCTAAAGCTTCCACTTCCTTTCTATAATGAGGCGACCAGAACTGAACACAATATTCCAAGTGTGCTCTATCCAGGGTTTTGTAGAGCTGTAGCATAACCTCGCGGCTCTTAAACGCAATTCTCCTGCCAATGAAAGCCAACACACCATACGCCTTCTTAACAACTCTATCAAGTTGGGTAGCAACTTTGAGGGATCTATGGACGTGTACCCCAAGATCCTTCTGTTCCTCCACACTGCTGAGAATCCTGCCATTAACCCTGTATTCTGCATTCAAATTCGACCTTCCAAAATGAATCACTCCACACTTTTCCGGGTTGAATTCGATCTGCCACTTCTTTGCCCATATCTGCATCCTGTCAATGTCCCGTTGCAACTTGCAAGAGCCCTCCACACTATCCACAACTCCACCGATCTTTGTGTCGTTGGCAAACTTACTAACCGACCCTTCCACTTCCTCATCCAAGTCCTTTATAAAGATCACATTATGAAGCAAGAGAGCAAACTGTTTCTCTGCTGAGGTTGTGGACATGCTCCTAGCACCTGCAAGACACAAAGGAAAGAAGTTGTGGCCAATGGTTAGAAGTGGTGTACGGTGAAAGACTTTGACAGTGAGGTTGTTGTGAAAGTTGTAGTGGAATGAGAAATGGTCCTAACTTAGTTGGCAGAACATGGATGTCTGAACATTCCCTTCCTTCTCACATTTTCTCTCACCTCCTGAAGATTTATGTTTGTTTACATTGACCATCATTGAAGAAGCAATTCTTTATTTGTGAGGCTAGACAATAATTGTTGGAAATTGTTGGTATTCAGTTCTCAATAGATGGCATCAAAACTTTTTTTTAAAATTCATTCATGGGATATGAGCATCACTGGCTGGGTCAGCATTTAATGCCCAATCCTAGCTGACTTTGAGAAGGTGCTGTTAAGTTGCCTTCTTGATCCGCTGAAGTCCACGTGCTGTGGATTGACCCACGAAGCCTGATTCTGTGCTCATTCTATGTGCCTTTCAGCATGTATCATTACATGGTAGTCAGGTAGTAGTTTTTGGCCTATCTGACACATATTCTCTCCCTTTCTTTGTTATTCTCATATATTTTCACAGGCGACACTTTTTTTATACAGCCTCACGGCTGCATCTTAGAGACTGAAAGTTCTTCTTTGTGATGGAATATTAATATGTTTCTGCCTGTTGTGTTTGAAGAGTATCTGAGTGCAACTCTCACGCCAGTTTAAATGTTCTGCATGAGAAAGGTTTGCTTGAATCACTGGGCATGCATTTATGCAAAATAATTTATTTAACCAACTCCACAAACTAAACAGGTGATCTGATTTTGATTCACACAAGGACCACTTCTTATTGTGTGAAATAGGAATATCAGTTGTCTTTCTTTATGCTGTCTATCGCATGACAGTAAGATCAATTATAATGACCCAGCTGCTTCTACCCTGATTACCATCTTGGTTTTCTTGAAGCTTTCCATATGGTTTCATGTACTTTAATACTCTGTCCCTTATTCCTGGGTAAGCCTGGACAGTAAACAGTTGTTGGCCTGTATTTCCACTGCTGAGTGCATCCAGCCAAGCTCAATCTCCTGCTAATCCAATGTTTAAATTTACATTCTTTCCAGTGGGAGACCAATTGGCCATGATCATGAATAGAAACCCTGTCTGAATTTAGTTCCTATCGTCCAAGAGCCAGTTATAATAACCTGAATAGAATGCAGCTAAGATCAGCTAACTGAACATGAGCGAGTGATCGAACCTGTGTTTCTGATCTGTACAGCTCCGTATTTTTCAGTGCAGTGCTTAATAAGCAATGTTCTACTTGATTTACTTTAATCACTTTTTTTTTTTCAATTTCAATTAAAACAGAAGTTTGACTGTCTCATGCAACAGAAAATTATTTATATTAAGTACTTGAAAAATGTAAATGTTTCCCAGAGTAATTTCTGGCAAGAATTACCAGAATAGTGAAACATAAGAGTAAAACCTATTTCAGTTGTCAATGAACTTCTGTTGGATTATTTTATTTGGATTATTATTGGTTTATAGAATCTGTGTTTAGAAGACACATAACTATGTAACTGGTATTCTTTCTTGAACCTATAAGGTTTGAATGAAAACTGCAGCATGTTAACCTAATTTTCTAATCAATAATATTCAACCTGACTGGCAGCATTTTGCAGGTGATCTCCCCACGGTTTCACAGAACTGGAGTAGCTACTAAATTTGATTCTGTGCATATCCTTTTATATTGCAATACAGGAGTCCTGATCATGACCTATGTTTTGAGTGTGAACAAGAATCTATCATTGCTAGAAAATTAATTTAAAGGTAACAAAAGCCACTCGAGATAAAACGATAAGTAATTTCTCCATCACATGCAAAGTAGATGATGTGTCTGCCTTATAATTTTGGCCTGTTGTTAGTAGCTTTGTGTTTGCCACTTGGCTGTGATAGCAATCCATGAATTCACAATTTCTGATTATTTAAATATTCACAGAAAATCATCTCCCAAGAAGAAAATGAACATATATTAAAGTTTTTTGAAGCAAAATTTGATTTGAATACTACAAGGTATATTTGAATATTTTACATTTTTGAGTTTTTTTGGGAACAATATTTTAATAAATTTTGTAAGTTTTGAGTAGAGCTTTAACTGTTGAGTATTGATGCTAATTTAATGTTCTGAGGTGTGATCAGTTTTCGTTTCTTCCAAGTACATCAAAGAATACCTAATGTAAGTTACTTGGTCTTTGTTGATGGGCTAGTTAAGGTGCCACAGTTGGCTTCACTGTTGTGTTCTGGACCGAAGGGTGAACTTGATTGGAGCTCCCACTGCTGTGCAGGAACCCTGCTATGAAAGTCTGGAAATGTGTGTGTATTACATATGTATATGTAATGTTTCTGCATGGCCGTGTTATCCCTACAGTTGAATAGTCTGCCAACGTTCATTGTCAAAGTTCATGATGCTAAAGTCTGTTGTGCAAAAATTAAAACTAACACCCGTTAACTAATACCAGAAAAATACAAGGCAGCATGCCTTTTGCAGACTAACTGGCCAGTCCCAAAACAGCAATTCAACACATTCATGGTATGAAGTTAAAAATAGACAGAGGAAAGAATCTACTTTCTATCGTAAACAGTGTGTGGTTGACCATTCCACAACATGTAGTGCTGTGAAAATAATGGTTATGTGACATATGACAGGCTGCCTAAGGATAAAATATGTAACCCATTTTCAGAAATCCCCAAAAAGGAAGAAAATGTATTTTTAAAATGTTCTTGCAAAGAGATTTAATGCCATTTAAAGAATCAAAGGAAGGGTCAATTAAAGGACCACATGAAATGAGTCACATAGTCAGTTATAGCTCAGCATGACTTGTCATAAAATGGCACATTGCATTCTTAACTCCATGAAAAGATTTATATAAGTTTGCAGCACCCACTCAATAAACAAAATACTTATCAACTTCAGAAGAAGTGAAAATAAATGCTAATGCAACTTGAAAGACTAATACCACCAAAGTATGTCCCTGTCTGAGTCAGAGACCCAACCCTCCATGCTTAGTCACCAGCTGAACCCCACCTCCTCCCTGCCCAATCCATGGTAGAATGTCTTCAGTTCATCCTTACCTAAATATTCTCCTATCCATTGAGGTAAATCCATGGAAGTCCCACTCAATAGACAAATGTGCATCAGCAAACTCCATGCCTGAGACAAAATTCTTAATTCTGCTCTGTCTGCCAGTTCTTAATTAATCTCCGCACTCAGAGGATGAGGAAGTGCTGGTGTTGGACTGGGGATGGACGAGGTCAGAAATCACATGACACCAGGTTATAGTCCAACAGGTTTATTCGAAGGTGACCTCTTCTTTACACTGATAAAACCTTTAGTTTTCTCGGGACAGTGACTTCAAAGGAATACGGGGATTTACGTATATTAATCAATTAAAACCTTCTAACTGATTAATGATTTAACAGCATCTTAGGTTTGTTTAATACATCCTCATCAGTGGTGTGACCCTTTGATCTTTTACTTATAAATTCTGTATTTGATACTACCTGTCTCACTAACACCTGAAGAAGGAGTAAGGTTCCGAAAGCTTGTGTTTTTACATAAACCTGTTGGACTATAACCTGGTGTCGTATGATTTCTGAACTCACAGAGGAGTTAGTATTTTCTCAGCAGAGCTCCAGTCGTATTTCCAATGCAGAATGACTTTTCTGCACAGCTGGCAAATGATTTGCATACCTGTCCCCACTCGGCATGCTTCTCCCTCCTCTCTCTCTCTCTCTATCTATTTACCTTCCCTCTCTCCCACCTTGCCCCTTTCTCGATCCATTCGCTTCAACTCTTTCCTCACCCATCTCTTCTTTGCTTATCATTTGTCCTGTTTCCTCTCCCCTCCTCAGCTTGGATCAGTTATCTCAAACAAAAACAGAAGTTGCTGGAAAAGCTCAGCAGGTCTGTCATCACCAGTGGAGATAGATCAGAGATAAACGTTTTGGGTTGAGAGATCCTTCCTCAGAACTGTTATTCTCAACCCTTGTGGTTCTGTTTTAACTGAAAAGTGCATTGGGTCTTTTCACCCCTTGTGTAATATCACAGGTGATTGAGTCATAAATAACTACACATTAAACTTTTACTTAGTCATGGCTATGATTGTTACTCCTCTCCAGCCTTGATTAGCTGCAACGTCAGATTTTGATGACAATTTTCTTCAGCTTTGTCCTATTTTAAAAACATAAAGACAAAGTTGCCATAGTCCCAGAGGGCCAATAGTAAGAGACGACTGGTGGTGAGGTAAACCTGAGGATCACTATGCCTCAGGTGAGGGAATGAGATCAAGAAGGTGGGATCTTCTTAGTGACTTCAGCTGGTACCGGAATTGAACTCAGTGTTGGCATCACTGTGTCACAAACCAGTGATCCAGCCAACTGAGATAATCAAGCCCCCCAATAATTAGAATTCCACCTCCAAAGTGAATAGTACGATTGAGATAGCAGCATTAACAGCATGTGATGAGGAAAACTACATTTTGAACGGAATTTAACAAATTCTGAGATCACTAATGTTTGTACCTCTAACGCATGAACTGTCTCACCATTATTTACTTCTGTTTCCAATATTCCTAATATTTTATCTCTATTCATTTGCTTAATAAATAATTCTGAGGATTTATTACTGATAAAGAAATTTTCTTCTGTAAGTTTAAAATGCATTAATTTTTAGTTATATTCTCTTCACTTTACTTTCTTGGATATGCTGAAGTAATAATCAAAAAATGTTTGATGAATTTCTTAATATTTTATATGCTTCAGTGAGGTTTTACCCGTAACCACCATCTGTTTAGACTGTAAATCTTAGTCTTGCCTGATCATTCCTCATTTCTGCTACACTCATCAGGCCTATTTGTCCTTGTTGGTGTCCTTTCTCATGCAAGTAATTATCTTTGTGGATTGAAGATTTATACTGAACAAAAACTAAACAGTGTTCCATGTAGAGTCTGACTGGTCCACTGTGAAGCACTAATGTAACTTTCATGGCTTGTGGTTGACCTTTTTGATAACATAACCTGCCAATTTGTTTTGCGCCGTATGACTTTGCAATAAATTTTTCATCTTTGATCATTTTCCTTTTTTCCCTATGCTAATTCATTTACTTTATTGCTTGCATACTTCTCATCTTGTGTCAAGCTATGTGTAACATTTTACATTTAACATTACTAAAACTCAAATTGTTGAATGTCTACCTAATCTAAGCCTTTTGAAAATTTTTGATTGCTGGCTGTGCTGCTTCTATTTTATTTTGTGAAATCACCAAATTTGAGCTTCTGCGTCCAGGTCATTTTAAGTGGGTAAGGGACAAGAAGGATTTGCCTGATTCCACTCAACGCCTTTTCCCGATCCCATTCAACATGATTTATACTTTTTACAAGTGCAGTTTCTTCCATTTGGGTATTTTATATTTTTGGTTTTGATTTTGTTATAAGCTAGTATTTAACAATAATTATTTGCATGTTATCACAGTTGATAATGCTTACCAGAGGATGACATAAAGAGTCTGCAGTGGGATATAGACAGGTTAGGTGAGTGGGCCAAAGACTTGGCAGATAGAATAAAAGGAGAGGTTGGTGTGCCTGGTAGTGAGACAATAGGTCTGAGGGAAACCCCGGCTTGTGTTCCTTGGGGAGTCCATAGAAGCAAGCTGTGTTGGATCTCTATGGCTTCATTTTTTTTTTAGTAGTCTGTCATGCTGATATCTCCTGAGTTGTGTAATTTCTTTAGGGTTGTTTTGATCTGGTTCTTCAACAGTGGTGTTGGGTCTATCACCATCAGTTGGCATATAGTACAGACTATATAGTATAGATCAACATATAGACTAGCCAAAGAGCTACAACGGAAACTGAAATACTCAGTTGACAACATTACCCACTCCATCCACTCCTCCCAGGAATTCCTCAACAGCATCAAAGACACCGGAATAGAAGAGAATGAGATAATATCCTTTGACATAACAGCACTATTTACAGCCATAAACATTGATCTAGCTAAAGAGACAGTTGCTACACTGCTGGATGAATCAGGAAGGCAGGCACCCCACAACACCAACCGCATCAACAAGGACAGCACCCTGAAACTGCTGGATCTGTGCCTCACAACCCACTTCACCTTCAACGGCTGTATATTGAAACAATCATGGGATTCCCAATATCAGGACTGATTGCAGAGGCAGTAGTGCAAAGGTTAGAATGAACAGCGCTCCCCACTATACAACCCAAACTCTGCGTCCGCAATGTAGATGACACCTTCACGATTATCAAATGCACAAGACTGGAAGAAACCCACTGACACATAAACAACATCCTCACCAGAATAAAATTCACAAAAGAAGAAGAGAACAATAACTGACTACTCTTCCTGAACATAATGGTAGAATGCAAGAACAACGGGGATTTCCAGACTAGCGTGTACAGAAAGACCACACGTAAGCACCTAACACCCATAAATGGAGCTGCATCAGGACATTATGCAAATGATTCACAACATACTGCAGCAATCTAGAATTGCACAAACCAGAACAGGAGCGCTTATATGGAGTTTTTAAAGGAATGGATACCCAAAAAGCACAATCCGCTGTTACCTCTGAGACAGACTGCAACAAGAAGACACAACACGGCCAGACACACTGATCATCCTACCATACATCAGGGACATATTAGAGATAACCACAAGACTACTCAGACCCCTAGGTATCAGGGTAGCGCACAAACCAACAACCATCCTGCGACAGCTACTAACGAATGTAAAGGATCCCATACCCACAACCAGTAAAACAACGTAATATACAAAACACCTGCAAGAACTGTGAAAAACATTACATAGGCCAAACTGAAAGAAAAATGACAATAAGGATACATGAACAGCAACGAGCCACCAAGAGACACAACCAATCCTCATGGTCTTAATACACATGGACAAAGAAGGACACAAATTCGACTGGGACAACACATCCATAATAGCACAAGTCAAACAGAGACGTGCCAGACCTCCAGGAATTCCCTGGCATTCCAACCGGAACTCCATTGACAAACACATTGAACTGGACCTGATGTACAAACTACTGAAAAACAGAACGGGAAGTAATGCCGCCACCCCAGCAAACTGAGGCATATAAATAACAAGTGGGACAGAACACCGACACTTCACCGGAGGCGCACTGACGATGTTACCTCGCAGGGTAACAAAATGCCTGCAACCAAACACATTGGCTCGGCGAGCAAGTCTATAACCTCATCCACAATCCGAGCTACAAATCTTCTCAAAAACTTCAAAGAATAAAACGTGAGGTTATGCGCTTTGGCAGGAGCAATAGAAGATCTGAATGTGCTTAAATGGGCAAAGATTGGAGAAAGCTGCAGTACAGAAGGATTTGAGGATCCTTGTGCACGAATTGCTAAAAGCTAACATCCAAGATCAATAGGGAATAGTTGATAAAATGTGGAGCCGGAGAAGCATAGCAGGTCAGACAGCATCGGAGGAGCAGGAAAGTCGACGTTTTGGGTCTGGAACCTGCAGTTACTGATGAAGGGTCCAGCATCTGCAGTCCTTACTGTCTCCTCTCAGCAGGGAATAGGGAAGGCAAATGCATTGTTGGCCTTTATTTCAAAGAGAATAGAGTATTAAATACAGAGGTCTTGCTAAATCTATACAAGGCACTCCTTAGACTACAACTGGAATGCCGTGAGCAGCTTTGGTCCTGTTATCTAAGGAAGGACATACTGGCATTAGAGACAGTGCAGAGGAGGTTGCAGTTCAGAGACAGTTCACTAGGTTTAGTTCCGATGTGAAGGGACTGTCTTATGAGGAGATTGAAAAGCTTGGGCTTGTACTCATTGGAGTTTAGAAAACTAAGAGGAGACCTGGTTGAAACATATAAGATTCTTAGGGAACTTGACAGAGTAAATGATGAGAGGTGTTTCCCCTCGTGGGAGAATCTAGGACCAGAGGACATAGTCTCAGAATAAATGGTTGCACATTTAAAACCAAGATGAAGACGTCTTTTTCTGAGGCTATTCAGTCTGTTGAATTCTTTACCACAGAGGGCTGTCAATTGCGGATCATTAAGTATATTCAAGGCTGAAATAAATTTTTAATCAGTAAGGGAATGAAAGATTATGAGGATAAGACAGGAACGTGGAGTTAAGGATTGTCAGATTATTCATGATTTTATTGAATTGTGGAGCAGCCTTGATGGGTGTAACATGTAGGACCTGACTTCTGCTCTTACGTAGAACATAGAACATAGAACAGTACAGCACAGTACAGGCCCTTCAGCCCATGATGTTGTGTCGACCTATTATCCTTCTAAGATGAAACTACCCTGCATACCACACATTTTACTATCATCCATGTGCCTATCCAAGAGTCGCTTAAATGTCCCTAATGTATCTGACTCCACTACCACCGCCGGCAGCGCATTCCATGTACCCACAACTCTCTGTGTAAAGAACCTACCTCTCCCCTATACCTTCCTCCAATCACCTTAAAATTATGTCCCCCTAATAATCGTCATTTATGCCCTGGGAAAAAGTCTCTGACTATCCACTCTATCTATGCCTCTCATCATCTTGTAAACCTCCATCAAGTCACCTCTCATCGTTCTTCGCTCCAATGAGAAAAGCCCTAGCTCCCTCAACCTTCCCTCATCAGACCTGCCCTCCAGTCCAGGCAGCATCCTGGTAAATCTACTCTGCACCCTCTCTAAAGCTTCCACATCTTTCCTATAATGAGGCGACCAGAACTGAACACAATATTCCAAGTGTGGTCTAACCAGGGTTTTGTAGAGCTGCAACATAACCTTGGGGCTTTCAAACTCAATTCACCTGCCAATGAAAGCCAACACACCATACACCTTCTTAACAACTCTATCAAGTTGGGTAGCAACTTTGAGGGATCTATGGACGTGGACCCCAAGATCCCTCTGTTCCTCCACACTGCCAAGAATCCTGCCATTAACCCTGTATTCTGCATTCAAATTCGACCTTCCAAAATGAATCACTTCACACTTTTCCGGGTTGAATTCGATCTGCCACTTCTTTGCCCATATCTGCATCCTGTCAATGTCCCATTGCAACTTAGAACAGGCCTCCACACTATCCACAACTCCACCAACCTTTGTGTCATCGGCAAACTTACTAACCGACCCTTCCTCATCCAAGTCATTTATAAAGATTACAGAGAGCAGAGGTCCCAGAACAGATCCCTGCGGAATATCACTGGTCACCAAGCCCTAGGCTGAATACTTTCCATCTACTACCACCCTCTGTCTTCTTTTGGACAGCCAATTCTGTATCCAGACAGCCAACTTTCCCTGAATCCTATGCCTCCTTATTTTCTGAATGAGCCTACCGTGGGGAACCTTATCAAATGCCTTGCTAACATCCATATACACCACATCCACTGCTCAACCTTCATCAATGTGTTTTGTCACATCCTGAAAGAAGTCAATAAGGCTTGCCCCTCACAAAGCCATGCTGACTATTTCTAATCATAATCATAAATACTATCTCTCAGAATCCTCTCCCACAATTTGCCCACCACAGAAGTAAGACTGACTGGTCTGTAATTCCCAGGATTATCCCTATTCCCTTTCTTGAACAAGAGAATAACATTTGCCACCCTCCAGTCATCTGGTACTACTCCAGTAGACCGTGAGGATGCCAAGATCATCGCCAAAGGCGCAGCAATCTCTTCCCTCGCTTCCCGTAGTAACTTTGGGTATATCCTGTCTGGTCCAGGGGACTTACCTATCCTTAGGTTTTTCAAAATTTCTAGCATATCCTCCTTCCTAAAGTCAACCTGTTCGAGCATAACAGCCTGTTTCACGCTGTCCTCCCAAACTACCAGGTCCCTCTCACTGGTGAATACTGAAGCAAAGTATTCATTAAGGACCTCCCTTACCTCCTCCGACTCCACACACAAGCTCCCTCCACTATCCCTATACCCTCACTCTGGCTATCCTCTAGTTCCTCACCATAAGTATAGAACGCCTTGAGGTTTTCCTTAATCGTACGCGCCAAGGCTTTTTCATACCCCTTTTCGCTCTCCTAAGCCCATTCTTCAGTTCCTTCCTGGCTACCTTGTAACCCTCTAGAGCCTTGTCTGAACCTTGCTTCCTCAACCTTTAGTAAGCTTCCTTCTTCCTCTTGACTAGATGTTCCACATGTCTTGTCATCCAAATTTCCCTCACCTTACCATCCTTTCCTTGCCTCAGTGAGACAAACCTATCCAGTACTCATAGCAAGTGCTACCTAAACAACCTCCACATTTCTGTTGTGCATTTTCCTGAGAACGTCTGTTCCCAATTTATGCTCCGCAGTTCTTGCCTAATAGCATTGTAATTCCCCCTCGCCCAATTAAATAATTTCCTGTATCATCTGCTCCTGTCCCTCTCCATGACTATAGTAAAGGTCAGGGAGTTATGATCACTATCGCCAAAATGCTCTCCCACCAAGAGATCTGATACCTAGCCTGGTTTGTTGCCAAGCACCAAATCCAATGTGGCTTCCCCTCCAGTCGGCCTATCTACATATTGAGTCAGAAATCCTTCCTGGACACACCTGACTAAATCTGCTCCTTCCAAACTATTTGCACTTAGGAGATTCCAGTCTATATTAGGGAATTGAAGTCACAAACATGTGTTTGACGTGTTATAGTCTTGGAAAATAATACCAATGTTGAATTCTTTGCAATAGTGGTGCTTTTGAATTAATTTCTGACCTGTCAGTGGGTGTATAAGAAGATGTTACATTCTGTAAAAATTGTGATGCTTCATTCATGAATTAGGTATATCTCATACCATAGATAGCACAATAAGTGAACAGAGCAGAAATTATCCCCCAGAATTCCCATCTCTGTTTTTTTCAGAATGTTTCTGTTTAAATGCAATGATTGAAATAATTACAACTTTAGCTAAAATATTCAGGATAATTTGAGTTAGTGTTTGTGTATGTGTATTCCGTATATAATAATAATTACCATATTCTTTACACATTTCAGCAGAATATTGGATGCTTATATAACCTAACGTATGTACGTTGTGATTGTCTTAATTGCATTGCATGGAGTGCTTTAGATTTTTTCCTGGTATAAATCTTAACTTATTTCTTTAGCAAATATTTTTGCATTTTGATGTTTAAATTCTATTTTTATTGGAACATATGGCTAGTTCAGAACCGTGGTAAAGCCTTTCTGAAGTTGAGAATTTTACATCATTAAGATGAGTAGACAGAATTGACTGTATGATCTGTTCTTGTCACTGTGTGTAATGTATACTTTTTCTTTTAACTTAGAGACTTCAATACAAACTTGCTGCTTTGTCAAGAAACCTTCCAGACCCCATCACAGGAATTCTTTGTCCGACTGACCCAGACCTGTTTGCTCCCGTTTTGTTTGTCTGTGTTGCTTATCTGCTTTTTCTCAACCCTGGAAGTAGTTTCCAGGAAGTTTCGGTAAGGAAGGAAGCAAAACATTATCATCTCAGAGTATTGCTTGTGTGTATCCAAAGGATTTAGCTCAGTAGCCAAAGGTATATTCCACAGTGAATGATTTATCATGGTCTCTCAGTGCCTTGCGATTAAGATTTATGTGTATAAAATTATGTTACAATGTTTATCATGGGGCTGAAGGATTAATTTATTAAATTGAATATGCAATGGATGGGAAAGAGTGAGTGATACTGGAAGCATCCAACTGGATTCTAAGACAACATGCCTCATAATCTGTTTGAATGTTGTGCTCATTAACTTGAGAGCTGCCGTGGCTGAGCAATAGAAATTTTGTATTCCAGTCATTTTTGTTTATATCAAATATCCCCAGGGATTTCATTCCAGATCTGTTTTTGCAAATATTTTACACATGAGAAGTTCTAACAAGAGTGCACAAGACAGCCATAGAACCTTTAGCCTGGTGCAATTTTTAATACAGAATTCAAAGTTCAGTAATGTTTTGTTTCTTGGGATGAAACTGTGCCCTCGTCGTTGATGTGTGGAAGCCTCAAAAAGCTCAACAACTTTGAGATCTTTCCATTTGCGAGAATTAAATGCTGAATTCATATTCCATTTTCTGATGGTTGCAGCTGG